AACAACCGCTAACTATTGTATAACCAAACAGTTATATTTATCGAATCCGTTATTTATCATCCGCTACCCACTTTCTGTTATCCGTCATCCGCTATCCGTTAACCGTCACCCGTTAACCGTTACCGTTATCCGCTATCCGCTACCCGCTACCCATTATTTGCTAAATTTTAACCGCTGTACCAAACAGGCACCAAATAACGTGGAAAGAACATTATCCGATAGTAAAAAGCACTCTTTGACTTTGATTAACGTTAATTTTGTAGGCCCTGCTTGGACCAACGAACTTAATTAGAAAAAGTTTGACAATAATGATATCACATTATTATTTTTGAAAATAGGAACTTAATTGGACCGTCAGTATTATTTTTTGATTATTTTTATCATTATTCTTCTTAATCCGCTTTGTGAGTCATTGGGATGTTTTTTTAACTTTTAAAAAATATAGTTAAAAATAAATAATAAAAAATTAGCTATTTTACTCTCTGAATAGTACAGAAGAACTACAAAATATCGACTTTTACAGAGAGGTGCTGTCGGTAAAGATGAGGGTAAATAGTAAGAAGTCACGTTGGAGGGTAAAGATGGATGTAAACAGCGGTGATTCCCCGGTTTAATAGCTGCCAGAGGAAGGAGGGTGGATGGTTGAAAATTTGAAATGGATGAACGGTTTGAAGAAGTCTCTACTTAGCAATCCTCGTTTACGTAAAGTCGATCCCCTGGCGCAGACAAAAAGGACCACTTGTTTTTGGTTGCGAAAACAACTTTCAAAAAAATTATTTTCTCGATCAGATTACATAAAAGAATTTTTCTATGTGAGAGAGTGACAGCAAGACCTCCCCCTATCATTTAACGGAAAACTGCATAACAGAGAATATTAATAGTCCATGCATCTTCCGTCCTCTCCCGCACTTCTATTTCATCTCTTTCTCCCAAATTTTTTCTTTAGCGTTGATGATATGGCCACAACCTCTATAAGATCCGTGCTTTTTCCTTCTTCAAAATTTGGGAACAATGTATCTGAGAGAAAGAGATGAAATAGATGATTGGAAACAGGGAAATCTGTGATTTTTGAAAATGAGGTAAATAAATCAATAAACAATGTATTAACTTTCAAATCTTGGCCAAAAGATTCATAAGATCAAGCTGTAAAACTATGCTTAGATTTATCTAAACTAAAGAACAATTCAGAGTTCCAATTGTAGGAAAGAAATGGGAGCCAAACGAGAAAGTAGGGCCCATACCACGTGTCCCCTATATTGTGTACGTGGAGTGTAACCCAGTGACATTCGTGTGAGGTTCAGGGTTCTGACGTTCTGTTGTGTGAATACCGGGTTACTACTACTTTGTTAATTTTGGTGGTACCTGCTCATTGTGTGGTTGTTTAGGCTAATGCGGGAACATAATCTCCCCTTTGACAGAAACACCCACACTTACATTTTATAATAACATCTATACGATATCTTTCTTAAAGATTTTTGAATGGTAGTTTTGGCAACCTAGAAAAAAAAGCATGTGGATCTTCATTCTTCCCCGGTATTCTAATTCTATAATAATTATTATTAAAAAATTAAGTAAAACGAAATTTCTCGCACCTTTCATGCACCGTCCAATTCCTGAATTCATTCTGCAACGGTCCGATCAAATCCTATCCCTTCGTAGATTCCAAGATTTTGCGGCATGTGGACTTTACTTCACTAAGGAAAATATTACTCCTATTCATGAATAGTAAATGGATCGACCCCCCAATTCCCATATATACAACTCTATCCCATCCCCTTGCCTCTTATCATCTAAAAGCACAAAGTTCTCTTCAATCAAACAAACATTTCCTCTCCATTTCCTTCCAAAATCCTAAGAAACACTCACTCTCAACCTTTCACACAACTCAAAATATGGCTTCTAACATCATCACACTGTCACCGGTCTGGCCAAGGCAGTAAGCCTTCCCAGGAGGGCTTATGTCACCTTCTTGGCTGGAAACAGTGACCATGTTAAGGGTGTGGTGGGTTTGGACTTTATCTACTATTTGCTAATCATAAATTATTAAATAAAATTTTTTACCAAATATTTAATTTGCAGTAATTTTAAAATAAATAAATTTATCAAATACCTAACCTTAATGGCTTCGATAAAATCACTAATCACTACTTCCAAACCATTATACCAAATTGGTTTTAACCATTGAAGCTAGTGTAAATTTAACCATTGAAGCTACTATTTTCTTCTTTGTAAATTTATTTTTGAAATTTTCAAACCTCTATTATAAGAGCATAGGTTAAAAGTGTAATTATTACATTTTTTATCATTAATTTGTATAAAAAAATAAAAAATAACTTAAGTTTTGTTAACTAACCAATTAAATTGTTACACATGATAT